TTTTTTTCTGGTGGTCTATAATAGTGTTTTCTAATACTATCATCAAAAAGATGCTAATATTTCTTTTCTCATGTAGGGTTGACCACAGAATGGAATATTAATTTTAACACAGAACAAATGGTTTAAATGGATCTATTATTTGTGCCTCTACTCCTCATCACCCCATTCATTCTTTGCCATTAGTTACACTTAGATCGTAATCTAGCCCTCCAAAACCATGAAAAAAAGCTTTACATAATCTCAAAAAGATTTTAAAAAATAAAAGGTTAAGCCATCTGTTATATCTCCCTCCCTATAATTAGTGTCTTGTTCATCTACTTTTTTATATAAAGCAACTATTATGCAAATATTCAGCAATTTTGTTTCAAATCCTCTTTGTACTTAGATGAGCAATTTTGTTTAATTCAAATTCAACCTGCTGTACCACCTCACCCCATAATTTTTTTCCTGTTTCCTTCCATCTTTCCATCTTGTATTTATGATGGTGGTGATGATGATTATAATTTTGCAGAAAGGGTGGTTATTATGAAATATGTTTGTGCTTAGTGAATCAAGTTTTGAGGTGTTCATATGAAATGAAGTCACAGCACAGTTCCTCTCTTACAGAGGAATCCTCATTTCTACCTCTTTATAGTACAAACATTAGAAATAGTAATTAGTAGACCTGTGTGAATCAAGTCTGATCCTATTCTAATTACTCATTCAATTTGGTTAATCAAGTTGATTTGATTTAGTTTTAACTATGTTTTCTTTTGCTTTTCTTCTTTCACATCTTTAATTTCATTGACTTACTATTTATTGCTACCCTCTCTGGATAATTGGTTTCACTGTCAAACTGTTCTAACTCTTATGATTTTTTTTAACTATCTATTTTAAAATAGATTCAATTGGAATCTATTTTCTTGTAACTTAAATCCACTATGCCATGTCCACTGGAATGAGAGAACAGGTCTCAACTTTTTGTGTGACATCCTTTGAGATGTATAAATAACGTTATCAATCTTTCTTCATAGATCTTAGTTTCTAACCCCCTGTTCACCTTTTTTGCTATTTGCTGGAGCTATTCCAATTTCTCTGAATTCTTTTTAAATTATAATGCCCATAGTAGGATAAAATTCTTTTTTTTATAATAACTTTATTAAATTTTAAAACAGAAAGATAAAACAAGAATAATCAAGAAAAAGAATAGAAGAAAAGAAAGAATAAAGAAAAAGAAGAACAGAAGCGCAGAAAGATAAAGAAACAGAAATACAAAAAAAAAGAGACTTCCGACTTCTTTTACAGCAGTTATAAGTAAAACTTGTACTAAACTCTTACTCTAGCATTATAACTTAACATCCATTTCTTCTATAGTTTGTTAATTTTACTAATCATCAAATCTATATATTATAATTTATAATTTTCTGTTTCCCACAAAAAGTCCAAAAGGGGCTTCCAGTTAGTATTAAAATTAGTGTCTTTCCTACAATCAAAGCTGTCAGTTTCACCATCTCAGCTAGTTCCATCAACTTTACCATCCATTCTTCCACTGTAGGTAGTATCGAGTCTTTCCACCTTTGAGCATATAAAAGTCTTGCTGCAATTATCATATATAAAAACAAAAATCAATGAGATTTTTCCAATTGTTTATCCATCAGCCTCAAAAGAAATGTGTCTGGTGTCTGTTTTATATTAATCTTCAAAATCTTCTGAATTAATATATGTATTTTGTAACGTTCACTGCATTCAGCGCTGAACAGAAACCTCGTGAGGCATAGGCTCGAACGAAAGCTAGTTTATTCAGGCGTAGTGCATAGCAGTTACAGACAAAGCCAGGATTGGCTTGGCACGGTTTCTTAC